CCTTGCACGCCCGGGATCCCATATGGGCGCCGGTTCTAATCCCGGCAGCCCCGCTTCCCTTCCAGCTCCCTGCCTGTGGCCTGGGAAAGCAGTTGAGGACGGCCCAAAAGCTTTGGGACCCTGCACCCGCGTGGGAGACCCGGAAGAGGCTCCTGGCTTCGGATCGGCATAGTATCGGCCCGTTGCGGCTCACTTGGGGAGTGAATCATCGGATGGAAGATCTTCCTCTCTGTCTCTCCTCTCTGTATATCCGCCTTTCCAATAAAAAAAAATAATAAAAAAAAAAAAAAATCTTAAAAAAAAAAAAATACCATACAGAATCACTAACCCTGACTCAGTGTTTGGTCTTTTATAGATGCAGAAGCTGTGGCCTAGTGGGGGTTAGCTCACATTCCTGGAGTCACACAGACTGCGGTGGAAGATATAGGAGTGACGCTTGGAGCCTGGTTCAAGCCCATGTCCTTGGTCACCAAGTTTTCTCTCCATCACTGCACTATCTGGAGGTGACACATTTAGGACTTCAGTTGAGAGGCTCTTTGCTGTTAGACTCAACTCTGCTGCACAGCAGATATGAACTTCACCAAGTTTCTTGATGTTTCTGGGCCTCAGTCCTTCTCTGTAAGATGGGGAGAGCAAGAATCCGTTATGAATCTCAAAGGACTTCCATGAGGAACAAGCAATATTGAACATGTACATGAAGGGGTACCTGGATGAGGAAGGGCACCAACAAACTTTATGTGTTTGCAGTACTGTTTGGTTTATAAGATTTTGCTTCTGCCACTTAATCTTCATGCCAACTTTTTGAGCCAAGTCTCATCAGTTCTAACTCAGACAGGCAGAACTTGATCTTCAAAGAAGAAAAAGTGACTTTCTTGAGGCTTGGGTCCCAAACTTGATCTCAGGTGTAAGATCTCAGGTGTAGGATCCATTCCTGTGAGTTCAGAGGTCTTCGGAGTTAGAGCACGTTCTTTATTTTAGTTCATCTTTACACCTCTCTGTCTGTTCAGCACAGTGACTGAAAAATGGAAAGCCCTTGACTTGCTCTGGACTGAGAAAATCATGAGTGATGGAGAAGAAAACTGGTTAACCAGAAATTTGAGGAGTTCTTAGGGAGTTTTCTGATGAATCCAGAGACTCACCTTGGAACAAAGGCAAAAAATACATCTAGACCATTCCAAGTCACTTAGTTTTCTCTTCTGAAAGAGCAGTGAAATGCCTGGCAGGAAATCATCACTGGTTACCTCAGGAGCTTACGTTGCTTCCACTCATGCTGCTATGGAATAGAATGCATCTCAGAAACTGTACTCCATGGATGGACTTATCTATCATCTTTAACCTCCACCAGTGACAAACACCCACAACAACACTCCCTCTCTAGGATTTGTTAACTGTTGTTGCAGTTGAAATCAGATCATAGGGATTCAGAAACCAAATCACAAACAAGATGTGAAACCTAGAGCAAGTTCTTTACTACATGACTCAGTTTCATGATTCATGAAAGCACACACACTTGCTTTTTTTTTTTTTTTTTTACTGAATCACATTTCTGGGAGATGTTTGCAGGTCAATACACAGCATATAAAGTTGTATGATTCCTTTAATACATATACACACAAAATTATTTAATCAATTCACAATTGATAGAAATGTTTCCCATCTTTTTGGTATTATCAGCATTCTTATAATAAATATCCTTGAACAAAGTAGCTACTTAGATTATTGTGACAAATAAGTTAGTTCAAATAACATATTTAGACCATGGAACTATGTATGGTATAGCAGGCTAAGCCTCTACCTGTGACACTGGGATCTTATTTGGATACCTGCTGGAGTCCTGGCTGCTTCACTTCTGTTCCAGTTCCCTGTTAATGCACCTGAGACAGCAGCAGAAGGCGATGCAAGTCCTTGGGCTCCTGCACCCACATAGGAGTCATATTGGAATTCTTGGAAGAGGAACATTAAAATAATTGGACACGAAGTAAGCAAGAATGCAGTCTATGACGGGAATGTGTCAGTGATGCGGAGGCTGCACCATGAGCAACAACATAAACAAGGTAGACGTTTATATCTCATGTTCAAGACACTTTGAGGTGATCAGTTCATGACAGCAGGAGTTCAGACATCTTTGATCTTAGTCTTCCTCTATATATGGCTTTCTGAAGTTATCTCATTGTCCTGGATAGCTGCTGTAACTCCTGCCATTATATCTACATTCCACCTGGTGGGAAGGAAGAAGACTGGGTTGGAAGGTCAAGGGATAAAGGGCACAATCTTGCTTCTGAAATCACTTCTGGTAGACTGCATGCTCCACTTTAGTCCCAGCAATAATTGAGTTATAGAGTCACATTTCATTGTCAGGGAGCTTGGGAGATGTGTTCTATAATCTGGCATCTGGCTTCCTCACAAGGAATTATGGATCTCAGTACTGTTGAAGGAGAAACCAGGTACCAGGTCATAGTCTGTCATTTCGGTTGCTGGGCCTTTGTGCAGTCCAGAGAGCTAGTCCAACAATCTTTGCTTAGGCAACCAAGGGTCTTTGGTCCAGGCTAAGAGTTTGGGACACATGTCTTAAGATAAGCCATTTCCTTCTGCCCAAGCCTCCCACCCCATGCACTTGCTTCACCTTGCGCAGTAGGAGGCGTACTCCGGTGGCCCAGCCCTTGGCCATTTTGCTGTGGTCTGAGGTGTGTTTCTGAAATACTGTGATTTATGTGTGATTGTGGCATCAGAGCACACGGCCCTGATTGTCAAAGAGTAGCTTGAGTCAGTACTGAGCCCAGGTCAGCCTTGAAAGTTTTGATTACTTTTCTTTGAGGACAAGAAACAGACAAAAAAGCCATTACAATCAGTGTTGCAAAGGCTTTGCTAACCACCTAATATAGCCCATTTGGTTACTCAAGAGTGTCTGGCAAGCCGGATTTGCATTGATTGCGTCTTTCAGAATTAATTGACAGTCTACCTCCTACTCTAGATCACATCTGATCCTGCCTCCTTTTGCAGTATGAGGCCCACCTAAAGCTTTTCCAGCTGCAGCAGGGATTTGGTCAGGGTGCCTGTGAATTTGTCATTGGAAATCAACACCGTCTGGAAAGCAGTTGCCTTTCCTATGAGCAGGATCATCTCCACACTCTTCTCCCTGTCTCCCTTTCCCTCTCATCTTCCGTTGGAAATGCATGTAACACAGGGCAGGCAGGACTGGCCCCTTGGCTATCCGCTCCTTAAAGGCTTGGATGGGATAGGATGTGTGTGGTGTGGACAGAAAAGGGGTAACAATGGGGCAGAGAGGGAGAGGATGGGGAGGGATGGCTGCAGTCACAGCTGTGGGGAGGGACCTTTTGTTTGTTGGAGGCTTTGGGCGTATTCAGCTCTGTGGCTGAACCTTGCAAGAGGTGGGGTTAGTTTCAACACTGTCCAGCTCTACTCTATAAGCCCCCACCTTCCTCCCGGGTGCTCTAAACTCACTGGTCTGGCTGCATCGAGTTCTGCCATCCTTGTTCTCCTCAGTAGCTTAACAATCTCCATTCCCTCATACACTGAACTCCTCTGTTTTGAACTCCCCCCAGATCCTTTTAGCTGGGTTCTCCACAGAAGAATGAGTTGCTTCTCAATGTGTTGATTTGACCAATCTGGGGGAAACAATGTGATTCAGGTCAGTAATACAAATGTTACAATTAAAAAAAAAACCCACTCATGTTTGCATCAAGAGTTCGGTGATCAACCCACCCAAGACCCTACAGATGGTAAACTCGGGAGGTGAAACTCAAGCCCACAATCTCCACTGAACCTCAGCCCTGGTCCCATAGGGACCAGATAAGGCCAACCGGTCAGAGATAGGTCCTTCAGGATGGGTGCTGCCCCTCCCACAAAGGCTGACTTGGTTGTTCCAGTTCGGACCTGGATCCAGGGAGCTGGATAGAATCAATATTTGGGGGAACTCACAACTCGGGTCTAGTTAGGGGATGTCGCAGAACTGTGGGTGTGAACTCAGGGCAGATTTTGGAGGAGAAATTGGAATGAAGCTGGAACAACCTTTCCACCTCTTTTCTCCTCGACTCAACCTGAAAGTACGTCAAATACTGTGGTTTCGGCTCCGTTTAGATTCTTTCAACCTGAAAGTCAAAACTTTTCACCAAAGGAGGGAAGCCTGCGTGAACTGAAACTAAAATAAGTTATCTTGCACCCCTGTGAACTGAAACTGCTGAATTTCACACAGCTCCAGTTCATTTTGCTCTTTTCCCTCCCACCCTCCCACCTCAAAACATATTCATTCAGGGAACAGATCAGATTTTGATGTTTTTCCCATCTCCAGACTCACAAAAGCCATCCAGACATCAAATGATGTTCCCTTAGCTGTAGTCTGGCTATATAAAGCAAGGAGTTATGCAGGGCTCAGGATCCCCTGGGATTGACATGGGAAACAATCAAAGGGACTGCTCCATTCAGGGTGGGAACCTTCCATACAGAGGGCTGAGCAAAGCCCCAGGACACCTGGGTTATTGCAAAGCCTTGCAGGGATGGCAAGAAAATGTCTGGTTTCTCTCTCGCCCTCTGCTTTAAAAAATGGTTGTTTAATTAAGAAATGATTGAGAGAAATGGAGAGATGTCATAGCTGGCTAGAGCCATGCTAGAGAGCATGGAACTCAGTCCAGATCTCCCATGTGAGTGAGAGGGACCCAGTTACAGACGCAGTCAGAGTCTGCATTGTTAGAAAGCTGGAACTAGGGGCTGATATCAGACACTCTGATCTGGGATGCAGGCATCTTAACTGCCAGGTTGAATGCCAGTTTCTGCTTTCTGCTCTCTTTCTTTCTCTCTCTCTCTCCCTCTCTCTCAAGCATCTTTCACCTTCCCATGGAAAGCCTGAAACATCAGCTTCACCCAAAGATAGCCACTTAGAGGTCCAGCCCTCAATGTGATTAAAGAGACCAAGATGCATAGGGTTTCTCTAACACTAGAAAAACCAATGGATGACCACAGAATGTGATCTGGTTTCTTTGCAGGGCTTGGTCCCAGGATGTTCCTTCCATAGCCCCAAAATGTTCAACCATCGGTGTTTCAAAGGGGATCACTAACTCCAGGAAGCAAAATTAGGGTAAAAGGCTTGCTTACTGCTGAGTAGCCCTGTCTTCTTCAGGCCATATGAGTAGAAAAAAATAATTTTACCAGATGGAAATATGTCAAGTAGAAATTCCATTTGTCTTAACCACTTTTTAACTTATTAGTGTCATCTGTCAGTACAAGGTATGAGAGAGGATTCTGAGGAAAGAAGGGACCCAAGTGGAATGGGAAGACTTCTTATCTATGTCTGTTTTGCAATGGTGCTTCGTGTGTATCAGCTCAATTCATTTTCTCAATAAACTTGATCAATGACTTTCTGTAACTCAAAGAGAAGCCAAGGTCCACTGCTTAGGAATTGGCTGAGAAGAGTTAAACTCTCATTCCTTTAGCAGGTGTTGTGGCACAGTCCTGGTTCTAGTCTCTGTCACTTAACTTAAAACATATATGTATGTGTATATTTGTATATATATACATATATGAGAACAAGATTTACAGAGAGGAGATACAGGGAGAAAGATCATCCATCAGCTGTCCACTCCCCAAGTGGCCACAATAGCTGGAGGTGAACAAATCCAAAGCCAGGAGTCAGGAGTTTCTTCTGGGTCTCCCATGTGGGTGCAGGGTCCCTAGGCTTTGGGCTATCCTCAACTGCTTTCCTAGACCACAAGAAGGAAGCTGGATAGGAAGTGGAGCAGCCAGGACACGAATCAGTGCCCATGTGAGACGCTGGTGTGTGCAAGAGAAGGATTTAGTCACTAGGCCATTGTGCTGGGCCCTACACCACACTTTCCATCAACTGTACTCGAGTTTCTGCCACTCAGGCGAGACACCCACATGGAGTTTGTGGCTCCTGGCTTCAGCTTAGCCTAGCCAGGCTATTGTGGGCATTTGAAGGAGTAAACCAGTGGATGGAACATTTTCCTTCTCTTACTAAAACTGTGTCTCCCTTTCTTAGTCACTCTGCCTTTCAGATGTATAAACAGATGTTTTTTTAAAAAAAAATCCACACTTCTTCCACAATGCCTTGTTTCTAAAGAAAATGATTTTCAGGATAGCCTAAAATCATGTCAATTTTATGAGATAGCAAATAGGTTAGGATGGTAAACAACTTAGCTAAAACCATACAGCTAATTGGTGCCAGAGACAGAAATGACTATAGTACTTGATTCCTAAACCTCTTCCCACCAGGCTAGTTACCTGCAATGGAAGGAGAATCAAAAGCCTATAACAGTGTAAGATGGGTATACGGTGGAGAGGAGAGAGTTCACATTGCAGACATTATCAGTGGAAAATTATGAACCTTATTGCTACAGATTTTCATTATTACAAGCAGAATATTTCCCATTGTTGCAAAAAGGAACTTAGTGTAAGTGGAGGAACCAGTGTTGTAGAACAGTGGGTAAGGCTACCACCTGAAATGCTGGCATATCATATGGGTACCAGTTGAGTCCCAGCTGCTCCACTTCCTATCAAGCTCCTTGCTAATGACCTAGAAAAAATGGTAGAAGATGCCAAAGTGTTTGGGCCCCTGCACCCACAAGGGAGATGTGAGCAAAGCTCCTGCCTCCTGGTTGTACTTTTGCCTAGATTTGGCTGTTGTAGCTGTCTGGGGAGTGAACCAGCAAGTAGAAGACTTCAGAAATCTTGGTCTCACTCTGTAACTCTGACTTCTAAAATGAGTGAATTCATCCTTTTAAAAAAACCAGAAAAGATTAAAAATTAAAACAAACAAACAAACAAACAAACAAACAAAACAAAAAAGGCTGTACAGTGAATTCTGGAATACTTTGCAAGTAAGAGTTTGCAGATATAAAGGAAGAATTCTACAGTCCAGGTGAACCTGCAGTGCAGTTATAGATGGAAACTGAGTTTGAACTGCAGAACAGTCTTTCATGAACTTGTTTACCTTTAAACTCACCTTCAACTAAGTAAAAGTTCTTTTAAATGAACCTGATTTTCATAATTCAGGCTGCAAGTTCAGATCCGGGCTTTGTCAGGCGCCATCTGCAGGATTTCAGAGCTGGGCTGGATGGCAGCTGAGTCCCTGTTTCTCCTTGGCTGTGATGCACGTGACCTTGAAGGCAGGCATAATTCACTGAGCGTTGTGGGGAGGGGAGAACTTCTACTATACGTGCCCTTCTGACCCACAGCTTCTGTGATTTAATATGTGTATATGTGTGCAGTGTCACATGCCTGCATGTATTTATACATAAAATATAGACACCTTCGTCCTCCTTAACCCAAACGCTTATAGGCTTTGCTTTCTTTCTTTTCCAGAGTCCGGGATTTCACAGCAAGGTGACATTATTTGAGGGGCAGGAGGGGAGGGCGGGGAGCAGGTTTCTTGCCTCTCACCCAGCCTGGTGAAAATCTCGCTCGGAACAATCCGTCTTCTGTGAAGCACTCCCTACAGAAAGTTGTGGAAATAAATCTCTCCTCTCACCACTGGGGCTGGAGTCAAACCGAGCAGAGCACAGAGGATTTGGGAGGATTGACACTCACAGGAAGAAGGGAAAGTGGCTTGAAAGCCCGATGGGTCGAGGGAGGTGCCCTGAACACAACTCCATGTGGTGTCTGCCCGGTAGCACCCAAGTGTGTGAGCGCAGGCGCAAAGGGTTACGGAGGCACCCTGAATAACTCTCCTGCTCTTGCCTCTCCTAGAACCGTGAAATGGACACGGGGCTCTGCTTGTCTTAAGGTCCTGGCTTCACCAGTGAGAGGAAATCCAGCTGCACGATGTGTGGGCCCTGCAGGCAGAGGAACGGCCCCACTATGTGGGTGGGTGGATGGTGGGGCAGTCTCCGAGACACCCCATTCTAGTTCTATGCAGCTGCTTGCATCCATCCTTGGAAGTCCACTTGTTCTCGACAGCGCGGCTTAGAAATAAAGGTGGGAGACGCTGCTGGCTGTGTAGACGTCCTTTGTGAATTTAAACAAGATTGGAAACACCATCTGTCTTCTTTAAGTCATTTTGAAGCCACTTTCTCAGCAAGGCTGAGCTGATCATTGTGTTAAGTGGCACCTGCTCCTTGAACAACTCTTGTCCCCAGGCTGCCTTTCCCTTTCCCACTTTCCCTCCCCCCACCTTTTTTTTTTTTTTTTTTTTGCTCTTAACACAGGTTGCCTGCATATACGCTGATTCCGTTGTTTATGAAATGATGCCGGCTCTCCTGTGTGAGGCTGTCAGGTCAGGGCCCCTGTCTGTTCTGCGCACAGAGGCAGGCCGTGCTCGTGGACAGCAGGTGCAGAGTGGGTGTCAAGTAAATAAGAATGAAGGCCAGTGCGGGCTGTGGGATAGGCGCAGTGCTGCATGCCCATAACCAAGTCGGAGCACAGCCCTGGAGGCAGCTTCTGTCTCTCCCCTCCGCGCATCAGGAAATCAAGGCTTAACACAGGGAATGGGCTGCCAGCAGCCGTGTGCGCAGCATGAAGAGCTGGCTTCCCAAAGGTCACAGGCAAAGTCGCAGAGGCAGGCAGTGGCCCCCTCCCTCCTCGTTCTCACCCCTTCTGTGGTCAAGGCTTGGGCTTCCAGAAATGTCTTTGAAGGAAGCCCTGCCCTCTGTGGTTCTTGAGGCTTGCCCAGGCCTGGCTGTGGGTTCCTGCAACCTGACGTTCCAAACTGAGGCATTTGCTAATTTCCTGAAGAAAGCTCCAGGAAGTCTTGTCCTGGGGTAAAAGCTGTTCACAGTAGGTGAGAAAAAGGGAAGTCTTCAGGTCCACCACACACGTGGAGGTTTCGTTTTCAGGGCTGCGTGGAGCTGACAAATAAACTGAGCTGGCCTGGCTCTCCCGCCCGCCCCTTGCCTTTCCCCTTTTCCAGATTCATGTGAATGTTTTGGTTAACTTTATCCCCTCCTGTGTTATTGTTGTTGTACCACATATTAATGTGGGGCTTCTGTAGCCGAGAGGAGTACGGTTGAGTTACGGTAACAGGCTGCAAGCACTGCGGTCTTTAGCTGGTGCAGGCCCAGATACACACGCTCACATCTGGACACGAGATCATGTGACAGCTGGAAAAGCCAGAAACATATCCTGGATATCATACAGAATGGGTTCTGTTAAATTAAAAAGCCTTTCAGTACTGGCTCAGCTGGTTTGGGTCTTGAGTCCTTTCTCTCTCTTTTCATTGTTCTGAAATGTGTTGTAGGATATGTGATTGCTGATTATTTCATTTAATACTGTGAACTGATCTCATTGTGAGTTTGTTTGCATGTTTTTCTGAAGTCTGGCCAGCCCGTCTCCTTTTTCCTAACTTTGCTTGATGACTTTGGGATGTGGACGTGGTGTCCCGTTAATAGATACTCTAGAAGCAAAGGGAAAATTTTCTACCCCCTCGCTGCCCTCTTGTCAACCCTTCCTTAAAGTCCCTGCAATAAAAACATCTTCAAAGGCCTTAGACAAAGCATGACTTCCTTTTACAATCTAGGGAGAAAAAAAAGACCACATAGAATAATATCCTTTGACACATTATTGGTAAAGAGAAAGTCATGGTTCTCTCGAAAGAGAATCCAGAACAGATTGGAAATCAAAAGTTTGTTAGGATGAGCGGATGTTAAGGATTGAAGTCTGGTTAAGACTCGATTCCTGCAACTCAGAAAAAAAAAACTATTTATTTTCTTTTTTCTTACGCAAATAAAACATTCTTGGGTTGCCCACTGAATATATCTTTCTCCCTGATTTACCAAGATTGTAGAAGCCAGGATTAAACAAGACACCCATTCCAAAACCAAAATGCTGAAAGAGAGACTGACATTGGAAGTCAACACGCGATTCAAAGACAGGAAAATCAGTGCCTGATTTCTCTTTTTAAGAATAAACAGTCACCCACTGGTGATGCCTCGTCTTTCAACTTAGGAAAAGGTCATAGAAACAATATGGTGAAAGACCACCAGCTTTGGACTTCCTAAGCTATGTGAAATCATTTTATTTTTACATTTAATTAGTTCAGGGTTTCTTTTTCCCCTCTCTCTGGATTGTAGTCTTTCTGTGAACAAGGGGTGTTTGCTCCTCTGGTTCCATGTTGAATCCTCATGTCTGGAACAAGGCCTCACATGCCTTGGTCACCCAGCCTCATGGCGGGAACTACTTTTATTCCTCCAAATCCACTCCATTCCCTGACCTACCTTGTGCTGCTTGTGCTGGAGGTGCTTGTTAGAAACCATGTCCAGGGACTCCGTTGTCTTTCTCCTGGCTTCCTTTAGGATGCAACCAGTGGAGCAAATCCTCATTTATGTTACCTGAGTCTCTACTGTAGTCAGTTCCTTTTTTTTTTTTTTTTAAGATTTCATTTATTTTTATTGAAAAATCAGATATACAGAGAGGAGTAAAGACAGAGAGGCAGATCTTCCATTCAATGATTCACCCTCCTGGTGGCCACAATGGCTGGAGCTGAACCAATCTGAAGCCAGGAGCTTCTTCTGGGCCTCCCACATGGGTTCAGGAGCCCAAGGCCTTGGGCTGTCCTCAACTGCTTTCCCAAGCCACAATCAGGGAGCTGGATAGAAAGTGGGGCCACTGGGATTAGAACCAGCACCTATATGGGATCCCAGTGCGTACAAAGTGAGAACTTCAGCCACCAAGCTACCATGCTGGACCTTGCAGCAAGGTCTTGATAGGCTCCTGGAAAGCATGGGAAGGCATCATAGGGTGATGTGTCTCCTCTGTGCCTAGTCTGAGTACCATACTATCCTATGTAATAGAAGCTTCATTAAACTCATACAACAATCTTGTTGGTTAGCTGCTTCCTTCATTATCTCTAACTGGCTGGGTTTCTGAGTGACAAAATTAAGATTTGTGGCATAAATCAATGAATGAGGCTTCCGCCTAGTAATTCACACTGCTGAACAACTGCAATAAGCAGGGTCCAAAGACCTTTCCTGTCATACGGATTTAGAAATATAGCTGCCACTATTATTTTAAGGCTGTGAGCATGTGTTGTAGATTTTCTCCATCAAAAACCCAAACCTGTCCCAACCCCATATTTGCTTGATCAATTTCTCTTTATAATTCATGTTTACTACATTTAGAAAAGTACACTCAGTTATTTGTTCATCTGTTTACTTATTTATCATTCAATAAAAACTAAATCATCCACCAGGTGCCATGGATCTGAGATGGAAATCTTCGACTGGTATGTAATCTAGTTGATTCATAAAACCTGACCTTCCAGAGGATTCCAAAGCAGTCTGGGATCTGTGAGAAAATGCACCCTGGTCAATTACTCATGTCTGCAATGGACAGAGGAGCAGAAGCACACTGGACCAGTGTTTGCCATCCCTGCATTAGATGTCATGGGTGAGTGAAGAAGAATACAAAGCAAAATAAGACAAAAGCAACCAACAATGAGACCATGTTTGGCCTCTGGTCTTGCTGCTTCAAAACTGTATGCTTGCTCAAAAAAGCGCACTCTGTGAGTGCTTCCCCTTCAAACACACCCAAATGGTTATTTGATCCCTCAAAGGTATGATCGAACTGACAGCACTTATTTTTATTACTTAAACCCTAGATTATATTTGTTGGGCTATAAGACACAAAATGAATGGAAGGTTTCATATCTTCTGTCCTGGTATATAAGTCATGCATCGCAATGTTTAGGTAATCCCCAAACTTAATTAAGATAGAGATTTGCTATTCAGTCAGGGGTCAAAAGCGTCTTTCGGAAAGCTTTTCATTCTAGGTTATACTCTCTGATTTTTCTTTAAAAACATACATTAGGGAAACATGCATTAGAAAAATTATTGCTCACAGCCTTCTTATTCTTGACTAAAGAACTTTTGGTGCTTTAGCCAGTTCAAATCATAAGACACTGGATTTGACATGAAGGTTTCCTTGAAATGAATTTCCTGTGTTTTGGGCATGCACTCTTCTGGGATCATGTTTCTTGATATAGCTGGCTTGGCCCCTAATCCTCTTTCTTGAGCCCTGTTTCTTTTCTACTGCCTCACTCAGCAGCCCTGAGAAAATGACTGACCCTCCTTGGACCCAACAACAAGGGATTAGATAGTAAGAGCTAACATACCCGCTGCTCTACTTACCATGGGGTTATACCTCAGTGAAGTCATAGAAAGTAGAAAGCATCATAAGCTGAAAATGCATTTGGTACAACTAATCTACCAAACATTCTAGCTAAGCAACAGAGTTCACTGGAGCCTCATGGACATGTAGCTGATGGGGAGCATCCGCTGTCCAGCATCACAACAGAATATAGTGCCAGATGTTGCTAGCCCTAGAAAAGATCAAACTATGGCTCAAAATTCTAAGTATGGTTTCTACCGAGTGTGTATTAATTGTGATCTACATTGTAAGTCAAACAATTGCAAGTTAAACCATTATGTATCAGGAGCCCTCTGTTTAGTGTTAGGCTATATATGAAACATACTTTACTAAATGCTATGCATCAGGGGTCGGAAAACTTTTTTTGGAAAAGGCCAAGAAGTAAATGTTTTCAGCTTGGCAGGGCCCCAGGTCTCTGTTCCAGCTACTCAACTTCATCATCGTAGTATGACAACAGTTACAGATGGCACACAATCTCATAGGTGTTGCTATGTTTCAATAAAATGACATTTATAAAAATAAGAAGAGGTAGTTGATTGGATCCACAGGCTATGGTTGGCTGTCTCTACCTTACTGGAATTGCCCACTTTTAAAATTTTCATAATGATTTCATGAGGTAAGTACTGGTTAACAAGATTAAATCAATTTCCTG